GGAGCCGCCGACAAGAACGCTTCCGTGGAAAACCGATGGGGTCAACTGTTGGACACAGTCTGGTCGACGGCCCTGGCTGTCCTCGGTCGCGCACGTCGCCGGCACCAGGACTGGTTCGATGAGAAAGAGGCCGCCATCAGCAACCTACTCGCCGATAAGAACCGCCTGCACAAAGTCTATGTCGAACGCCTCGCCGAGGACAACAGAGCAGCCTTCCATCGTAGCCGCCGCCTTGTGCGCCAACGGTTGCGCGAGATGCAGGACGCCTGGACGGCTTGAAAGGCAGGGGAGATCCAAGAGTATGCGGATCTCAACGAATGGAAGAATTTACTCTCCACAATCAAAGCCATCTACGGTCCGCCAACCAAAGGTACTGTATCTCTTCTCAGCGCCAACGGCAGTACACTATCCAGTGAGGAGACACAAATTCCACAGCGATTGGCCGAGCACTTCCGAGGCGTCCTCAACCGCCCCTCAACCATCTCCGATGCCGCCATCGCCCGTCTGACGCAAATGGAGACCTGTCGGATGTTATGTGGTCGACAAGATAAAGCTTCCCAATCAAAAGTCAGGGAAGACGGTTTGAGTTGGACAACCTTTACTGCCTGAGGAAGTGCGTACACAAGGGCTCTGTAGGCAGTCGCCGCAAGCGCGCTCCAAGCAAGCTGATGTCTGTGTCCGCCCTCGGGGTGTTGTGTGCGCGTGTGTGCGCCCTTCGTTGTCTCCACGTCCGCCAGCCAATCAGAGTGGGGACAGCGTTGATTGGCTTCGAGCAATCGCGCGTCCCAGCAGCGTATCGACACGGAGTGTGAGGCGGACAGGACGGCAGCGTGACAAAGGCGGCGGGCTAGGAGACGCGAACTGCCACAGACCAACTTGGACCTCGACCACACGCCCTCTCTTCACGAAACCATCAGGGCCGTGTAGCAGCTTTCCGGCCGTAAAGCACCCGGATCGGACGCGATCCCTGCTGAGATCTACAAGCACGATGGACCCCAACTCTTGGCTCATCTGACTGCGCTCTTCCAGGTGATGCGACATCGAGGAGAAGTCCCTCAGGATTTCAAGGAGGCCACAACCGTGCATTTCTTTAAGCGGAAAGGTAATCGCAACCTCTGTGACAATCACCGAAGCATGTTCTTGCTGAAAATCGCCGGGAACATCTTAGCTCGCATCCTTCTCAACCGCCCGAACTACCACCTGGAACAAGGTCTCCTGCTGCAAAGCCAGTGTGGCGTCCGCCGTTATCGTAGAACCACCGATATGATCTCTGCCGTCCGCCAACTGCCGGAGAAGTGTCAGGAGATGCGGACCCACGTGTACTTTGCCTTCGTGGATCTGACGATAGCCTTCGACACGGTGAATTGCGAAGTACTGTGCAAAAATATGCCAAAATTCGGCTGTCCTGAAAGACTCACTGAGATGGTGCGTCAGCTCCACGATGACATGATGGAGCGAGTTACGGACAATCGAGCTGTCTCAGAGGCATTCGCAGTGACCAACGAGATGAAGCAGGACTCCAATCTCGCGCCCACTCTCTTCAGTCACATGTTCATTGCCATGGTGATAGACGCCTACCGTAACGAGCACCCTGGGATCCGCATCGCCCACAGGACGGACGGTTAACTCCTCAATCACCAGCGGGTGCACTTCTAGTCGCCGACGACTGTGCTCTCGACGCCACCTTCGAAGGGGACATGAAAAGGAGAACGGATCTCTTCGCCACCGCCTGCGACTTCGGCCTGGTCATCAGCACGGAGAAGACGGTGGTCATGAATATACGGCCAGCTGGTGCTGCCTACTTCGCACCCCACATCAATGTGAACGGCTCCCAACTGCATGCCGTGGACAACTTCACCTACTTGGGCAGCACTCCCTCTCGCAGCACCAAAGTCGATGATGAAGTGTCCCCGGATTTCCCAAGCCAGCCAAGCCTTCGGTCGCCTGAAAAACACCGTCTGGAACTGTTACGGTCACCACCTCACCACCAAGCTGAAGATGTACGGGGCAGTCATTCTGCAGACACTGCTGTATGAAGCGGAGACCTGGACGATGTACAAGAAGTAGGCGGGGGACTCCATCACTTCCACCTCAACGATCTTCGACGGGTATTGAAGCTGAAGTGGCTGGGCCAGATCTCGGACAAGGATGCACTGGAGCAGACGGGAGTCCTCAGCATCTGCACCATGATGAGATGGCTGCAACTCCGCTGGGATGGCCAGCTCGTGCGGATGGACGAAGAGCGGCCACCCTAACGGCTCTTCTACGGAGATGTCGTCACGGGTTCCCCCCGACAAGGAGGCCAAGTCCGTCGCTACAAAAACACTCTGAAGACTTCTCTGCGGTGCCTGCAGATCAATCGGGCCAATTGGGAAGACCTCACCCGAGACCGAACGGCCTGGAGGAGGACAGAGAAGACAGGCGCTGCGATCTACGGAGCCAACCGCATCACCAACAAAGCCAAACGCGAGGCTAGCAAATCTCAACTGCGCCCACCCCGCCACGCCAACGCTTAACCATCCCCGACCCGCCCACTCTGCCAGAGGACGTCTCGGGCAACCATCGGCCTTATGGGACATCTTCGTACCAGCTGCATCACCGGGACTACACCAACTGCTGTCTCCCCGTCGGTCCCAATCCCCAAGCCGACGACTAGCAATGATCACACTCCTGAGCCTCCACTATCATCCTCCTCCACCGCCTCCATCGCCTCAGTGTCCGCTGCGGGGGCTCCCGCACCAACCATCACTCCACACAATCCTGACACACCAAAAAACATCAGCCTCGCTCACCAAAACCCCAGCAATGAGGACTCGATCCATGCTGTCCTCACTGAGATCACACCTTCACCTCACACATCGGCCTGGTCGGTAACCTGCGAACCAGTGCTTGGAGCATTAACATACACCAGACGCACACGCCTCAACTGTCCTCCCTGCACCCACACACTCGCCCACCGCATGAGCCTATTAGGCCACATTCACATCTACGAAAACCTGCGGTAGATAACTGCCGGCTACACCACACCGCCACATCTTCCCCCACCAAAATCACACAACATCATCACCCACCACGAACTTCCAACTTCCATTTCCTACGCATATGGGAAGTGTGCGTCTCTGCTGCGTCTTCATGCGGTTCTTCTGCTACATGCGTGATTCGAGTCTGAGCATATCACGGCGCGTCAAGCACTGTGCCTTGGAAGACTGCTGACCGACACCCCAGCACAGTCCACGAAGTCTGCCCGGTTGTTTTTGTCTGGAGTGGCAGACTGGTGGGCTGAGAACCAGGCTGAAACGGCTCCTTCTTAATTTGATGTACAAAACTTTCACGCATGTTATATATACACCACCAAACCCCTGTTGTGTGAAATCCCGGTGCTTCTGTTTGGGGCACGAAGTCGCCCATGTGACGCGCGCCGACAAGGTCATTAGATACATCAGCCACCTCGCCCATTCCCCGTACCTGTCAACAGATCGGCTCGGAAAGTGACTGGGCCTGAGAAAGGGAAGGGAGAGTGAGGTCGACGACTTAGCGAGTTTGCCGTGACATTGGGTCTTTTGGTCTCGTCACCTGAAGCGATCACCATAAGGTGTCAGGTTATGAGATCAAAAGTCCCACTGCCACGGCAAGAAACATCTTGAGTCGTCTACCGGATCCGGTGCAGTTGCGGACAAAGCGACTTTATCGAAGAAACTGGAAGACTGCTGCGGACGCGAATCGCCGAACACACGGCAACGCTGCGGAGAAATGACGCCAACTCTCAGGTCGCGGCCAGCTCGATGAGACCTGGCCACACATTCAATTTCGATAAGGCCGAAATTCTCGTAGGAGGTGATACTCGCATGCGCCGAGAGTTGATTGAGTCGTGGCTCACGGGATCCCAGTCTATCAGCAAGTGCAAGGACATCCCCACTACATATTTGATATTGAGACATAGTCTGGCCAAGGTAATTAACCGCCCGGGAAGCGCGCAGGCCAGTGGGCCAGTTGACGAAAGCCTTCGATAGGGTGAATAGCGAGAACTTGTGGAAAATCATGCAGCACTTTGTCTGTCCTAAACCATTCAAGATCATGGTGTGCTAGCTCCACAACGGTATAATGGTGCGCGTCGCAGACAGCGGCGCAATCTCTGAGGAATTCGCAATGACCAGTGGAGTGAAGCAGGACTGCGTCCTTGCTCCCGCCTTCTATAGCCTCAATCTCTGTCACGCTTATGGACGCCCACCGTAATGAACACCCTGGGATACGTAGCGCCTTCATAACCGATGGGCATTTTCTTAACAGCAAGTGCACGAAGACCATAACATGACCTTCGACGACTGCAAACCACCACCTGCTCTTTGCCGACGACTGCGCGCTCAGCAGCCTGACCGGAGAAGACATGCAGCGGAGCACGGACCTCGTCGCCACCGGGTGTGCCAACTTCGACTTGACGACCCACTGGAACAAGACAGTGGTCATGCAGCGACAGTCACCTTACACTGAATGCAACTCTCCTCGGACAGCTGTCAAAGGTAACTAAATCTAAACCATGGACAATTTCGTCTGTCTTGGAAACAGACTTTCGCGCAACATAATCATCGACGATGAGGTGGCCCGCTGGCTCTCCTAAATCAGCCAGACCTTTGGTCGGCTGCAGAACTCCGAGTGGAATCGTCGCAGCCTTTAAATTAACACCAAACTGGAGACGTACAAGACCGTCGTCGTGGCGACACTTCTAAACAGAGCGGAGTCCCGGACAATCTTCTTAAGCCGTAGCCAGATCCATTGCGCCGCTCGGAATAGGCGTTGCCCACAGGCCCGACTCAGCAATCCGCCGGCAAGTGATGCGACCAAAAGACCCGATCCCTAAACAGGAGATGTCGGTTGTTGTCTACCGACTTCAGTGCAGCTGCGGAATGTGTAACTACGTTGGGGAAACCGGCCGACGGCTGCAAACGCGCATGCACGAGCATAAGTTGGCCGTGCGAAGGTTGGACCCAAAGTCGGAGGTAGCAACCCATGCTGCCCAAATGGGACACGTCTTCAACTTTGACGCCGTTGAAATTGTGGGCCGAGGTGATGATCATACAGCAAGGCAGGTGCAAGAAGCCTTGATGTCTACCGACTGTTCTGTCAACCGCCACATCAATTTACCTCCCGCTTATCTGGTTTTACGGACATTCTTGACGGGGAACAGTCACGGCGCGGGACAATCGGGGCCGCCAATTATCACCGCAGCCGACGAAGATGGGCGGGATTCAGGTCACGTGACATGCGGGTCGGATGCAGCCACACGGGCGGCATTGGTGGGCCAGACATTGAACAAAGTGCGCCATAAAAGGAAAGCTGTGTGCACGACTGCTTAGTCTCTGAAGATGGGTAGAAGAAACGACTACCCGAAACGTCAGACCGCAAATACACCTCTCCCGGTGAACACCTCCTCTTCTTTTGACATGCCAAGAAGCTCAACCATTTCCATCTCAGTTGCCTCTGCAGAATACTGGAAACGAGACGGCAGGACAGGATCTGGAGATGGAAGTCCTGGAACGGACCAGAATCCTCAGCATCCGCACAGTGCTGAGGTACTGAAACTGCGATAGGGCGGCCATCTGTCGAGAATAGACGACATTAGACTACCAAAACAACTCTTCTATGGAGATGTAGCCACGGGTGATCGCCGACCGAAAGGACCAGAACAAAGTTATAAGAGCATTCTGAAGAACTCTTTGAAACGACTGTAGATCAACCCGGGGACCTGTGATGACCTCGTTCAGAACAGACCGACCTGGGGAAAAGAATTCAAGACTGACGCAGTCATCTAGGAAGCAAACTGGATCGCTGCCGTCAAAGCCAAAAGGGAGGTTTGCATGTCACAAGTGCCTCGGTTCCTCAATGCTAACAGCCAGCCGTTTTCAACATGCCCGCGTTGCCAATGTACATTCCACGCGCCAGTCGACCTCGTTGGACGCCTCCGGAAGCAATGCACCAACAACCCGGCAGCGCAAACCTCTCCTCCCACGAACGCCCCTATTATCCCCATTGCCACAAACCCCGTGACGACGACCACTCCTGCCACCCGTGATCGACCACTGAAATCATTTGCCCTACCCCAACCCCTGAATCGATCATAGCGACAAGTTCCGCCAACAAAATGACCTCTCGCACTCCCCCCATCGATGAGACCACATCCGACCTCCCGTTACCTACAACTATCACCATCAACACCCCCACCTCCAGCGATGTGGATTCGATCCAAGCCTGTCCTCATTGCGATCGCGCATTCACTTGGCACGTCGGCCCGGTCGGTCACTTGCAAATCCGTCGTACAGAGACTGGCGAGTCAGTGCCTAGAGCACCCACATACACCCGCTGCATCCGCCTTCACTGCTCACACTGCCCACGCACATTCATTCACCGCATGAGCGTAATCGGTCGACACACCTAGTACATTTTGCACTCGCACCATGCTTAGTCCAATTAATGCCTCATCGCACGATGCGTAAACCACCATCACCACCACCACCACCACCACCACCACCACCACCACCACCACCACCACCACCACCACCGCCCTTGTCTAAATCCTGGCCAGTGTGTATTGTTGATAAGGGTCATTTCTGCAGGCCCAGTTGCGGGCTCTCGCCACGCCAACTTCGGTTCCGAGCAGTCCCCGGTTTCTTTTCTTGGTGTAAAAAATCCTGTTCGGTGTGCGTTTGTGGATACTGGGGCGTCGCGGTACGTCTAGGTGCGGGTTTATTGGACGTGTCGTCCGCCTGCGCCTTCTCTCACCTCCGGTCTTCTTGACTTTGTCTCGACGTCGTGTCCAGGTGGGGTAGGGGAGAGTGTAGTAGATGCTGCGCAAGTCGATTACAACTATAAACCAATTCACACGCATGCCACTGTGCCTGCTGTCACCCTTCTGTTGAGCACATGGTGGACATCGTCGGTCACGACGGTCGAACTGTAATCAGTGGCATTCAGTTGGCAGGTTCCTTAGATATGATATTCAAACACATCTGGTCGCAGTTCCTTTGTGTTGTTCGGGCGCAAATGAACACATTTCTCTTCCATGCTTTTCAGTTCTGACTGAACTTTGAAAAACCTCCGCAGTCCTGCTATTTCAACAGACCAGCTAGTTCAGTCGGTCGAGCACAAGAATCATAATTTTGGGGTCATGGGTTCGAGCCCCACGTTGGACATTCGCATTTTATGTAAAATTCCGGCGTGTGCGTTTGGGGTGTCAAATCACGCGAACGGCACGTTCAGACGAGTCCTCTAGCTCTGCCAGCCGCTGCGCCATTTTCCCGCACCAGACATCTGGCCGGGTCGGACAGTGGCTAGGGCTTAGGGATGAGAATAGAGAAGGAAGTCGGCGTCTCGGCACATTTTCTTCCCTATAAACTATCTGACGCGCTTGGAGCTATCACGGTGCGCTAAAAACCGTGGCTTGGAAAGTTGTCAACTGACGGGATAACTTGGACCTCGCAGTTAGGCTTGTGTGTTTTCGTGTGGAGTGGCGGACTGGTAGACTAAGAGTCAGGCTTCAATGGCTCCTTTGCAATGGGGCCTTTATGGCACTCCCACTCCAGGGAATCCGAGCTGCCGCCCTCTTCTCTTACTGTTTGTAAAATCCTGGTCGGTGTACACTATGGGCCAGGGAGTGTGGTGGCACCCTAGGTGTTGGTTTTTGCCGTATCAAACATCTGCGCCTTCTTCCATCTCCGGTTTTCTTGACTGAGTTTTAACACCGGATCTGCGTGGGGGGAGCAGCGAGTGCGGTAGATGCCGCGCAAGTCCACTAACAGTATAATCTAATTCACGCTCAACCCACCATCCCTGATCTCACTCTGTTGTGGAGCACACAGCGGACAAAGTTGAAATTGACGCTCGCATTGTCGCACATATGTGAATAAGTGCGGTATAAGCTTAATCACTTGAGTAAAGTGCTAGTAGCACTTACCTACTCTTTTAATTAGAACTTAATAGTGCTAAGCTGTAATTAATAGGGTATGAGTAAGTGTTGCGACATCTAAGTCTCCACTGATACTATGAAGGCAGCGATCGGAAATATGTTTTGCTAGCTTTTCCTTGTATAGACCAGTATATAAGATCAGTTGGAGTTCACAAATAATTGCAGAGATCACTGGATGGTCAGTGAGGGCTATCGGGTCCTGAGACATGTTGCATTGACCGGGTGCTTCATTCGGTCGAATTGACTGGAGGCGGAAGCTCCTCAGTCATCCGTGAGACGGAGTCCAATCACCCGTTTGCTAGAAGACTAGTTACTTGTCCACTTAATCAGACATACGAATGACCGCACAAATACAGTCCTGCGCATTAACCAGACTGCTGACTGCATGACACAGTTGAACAGTGAAATTACTTTCAGCGAAGGTAAGCCGGAAAATGAGGAGATTCTTGTGTCTGGCACATAAGCAGTCGGAACCAGCGGCACCAGTTCTATCGGGTTGCTGAAATTTTACGTCGAACACAGACTAACTAGTCAAATACCTCAAAGTCAAATGATGGCACCGTGACATGATGTCGGCGAGACGCCGTTGAATAAGTTATCTTACAACCACGTTTTTCAGTGCTGCCTAGTTCATGTGATTGAGATAAATTTAGTTTAAACATCTGAGCTTCCTATCTAAAACGCAAAACCTGGGCTTGTTTAGGCGAAATTAAGAAGATAAACGCGAAAACCAGTGGGAGAATTTAGTCTCTCATTATCCAGGTCCATTTGAGACTGAAGGTTACCGAAGTTTCTATTGATGTTTTCCGGCGATGACAACAAAATACCCGCCGGTAGGATATTTCATGGTTTCTCCGTCCCGACAGAATACAATCCGTGAAACCAATCGTCCCTTTTTGAATGCAAAGGTTTAATGAATGAGCTCGGAGGTTGGCTGTGGTAACAAATCCAAAAAGTCGCTAAAGGCCAGGCAATGAACCAATCCGTTTATAGAGCGGAATGCTTCACGTATTTGCCGACAGCTCGAAGGAAGGAGGTTCAGGTTAATTAGGCGGTTTGCATAAGGCACTGGTCCTCCTGCCACATTGAGAAAATATATAGTCTCTTTTCTCGACGTAGCTGGTCCGGCTACCCAGAAGATGGCATCCCGTACGGGTCCGAAAGCTCAAGCTCATACACCTATTGTTCCCCTGATCGTGCGTTCACCGACCGCAGTAACCAACGACTGGACCACTTTTACAGTTGATTTTGGCTGATCTGCGGAGTGTTATCACCGGTCATTCTGTCTATTACGTCCCAAACCCTTTACCAACGCAAGCATTTGGTCTGAATTCCAAATATCTTGAACAATCACCCATGCACATACATCAGAAAAAAGCAGACCCAAGTACTGAGACCCGGGGTATCTTGGCTTCGAGTACTGCAGGATTGTACCTCTGTTGGTTTAAGCAAACAAATTGAAAGCGGCCGGGATAAGACAGGGGTAGAAATTCCCCCTCATAATATAGGTGCTTTTATGCTAAATTCCAGGAGGGGTACCTATTCCCGTGTCCTAACCCGAATCTCCCGGGCACTTGACGTGAGACCACCTGTACTACGGGTGGGGTCTCTATTTCTGTGCCTTGCCGCGGCCGGAAAGCGAACTTTGATTCACTGTGGGTAGTTCGCTCAGGCCCCAATCGCTTTTAATTCTGACAAAAAGACGCTGAAATGGCAGCGGTGGATGTAATGTGGACAGCATGCCTATCCCCGAGCGCTTGCATTAATCTCCGAAGAGACTGTTGAAAAGGAGTCAGGGACAAAATTCCGTTCCGGAACCCAAGTTGACGGTTTAATAGCAGGTTGTGAATCTCAACAAATTGCATCAATTGGCTCTAAACGACCCCTTGCATGACCTTGCAGAGGATTCAAATTAAGCTCCTGAGTCTGCCATCTATCACCGAGCCTCGTCTACCGCATTTGCAAAGGGAAGTGATGTAGGCAAACTTCCAATAGAAGGAAGACAATGCGGAATTAAATGAACCTTGAGAAAGCATAGACAGAGGTTTGAGAAGTTTTCTGGTGTGCTCTTTGAGAAACCTGGTCGAGACCTCGTTTGGACCTGAGAATATGGACTCGTTCAATGCTCCAATTCCCTTCGGTTGAGATGCTTCGAAAAGAAGATGTTTTTTGTGCTCAAAGTCGGTGGGTTCTCCGAGAAAGAAATCTTGCTTCAATTGTGTAGGCGATTTGGCAAAACTGAGACGTGCGACTCTTTAATTTCGTCAGAAATTAATGGTTGATCCGGAGTAAGTCAGTCTACTTGAGACCTATCGACTCAGACTGAAATTTGATATGAATATTTGTGCCAAAGTCCATCAGCCACGGCGGAATCACCATAGAATATTCTGCCTTCTCTTGGCCATCGGAAATTTCAAAGTCCTCGGCAGTCTTTATTAACGAAATTAGGTCACGTATTTCTTCGGAGGCACTTTATACCTCCTTTGCATTGAAGTCCTAAGGAAAGAGAGCACTGGATGAGACATCCTCGAACAGACGTTTCGGGCCGAGTGTTGGGAAAACATTTGTATCGAACACTCACAAGAAAATTAGCGAAACATATCGGAACACATTTTTGTGACCCATGCGCTGGTTTCGGCGGCAATCCACAAACCCTGCGTTGTCCACCAGGCAAGCGCATACACGCTCGATGCTGGGGCCTAACGACCTCAATACCATAGGCATTTGCCTGGCAGAAGGCTAGCTGCAACTACTTGCGGCGCTGCCTGTACTCGGCCTCAGTAAGAGCTTGTCTACCTAACAGTCCTCCCTGCCTTCTGATTTGGGAACCGTCCAAGACCTTCGTACCTTCAACAAGTAGTGACCCCGACGTGATTCGAACAAGCAACTTTCTGATCCGGGGTCAAAAGTCTACGCTGCGCCTTAGATGATTGGCCTCGGGTTCTCGAAAGCTGGTGTCAAGTCGTAGGCGGCTCCAGTGGCGAATTGTCAGAGGGCATGAGACGGACAGAAAAGCGACATAAGTGGGCGGACGCGCGGGCGATCACGGGAGCAGACTGTCACAGGCCGGGACCCGATCAGCGCTTACATTCACAGACCACTTCCAGTAGCGGGAACACAGAACGATCTTACGGAAGCGTATATTAGCAACGAGGTCCTACGAGTCACTTTTCCGAGAGCCAAATTAACGGGTGGCGGGGCACAATCAGTGCACGCACTCGGTTCTCGTAATTAGATTAGCTTTGATAAAGTCACAGGTGGGGCATTGGGAATTTATTTAGAGACTAGATAACGAAACCTCAACTACGGAAGTGCGCTGAAAATGAAAGGCAGTTTGAGGTGTTACACCATAGCCTCATTCATGTGCTTCCTGGCTTCTAAATTCTCCGGATCTGGCATACTGTCAAAGTCAGGCATATCGGCGATGCGCTCAGGCATTGGAGCAAGCTTGGGCGTTGGCCGAGGACGGTCGGTGTCGATGAGACGAACACGGTTGAAGTAGCCCAGTTCAGGTCTTTCCTGGCCCATCTTCGTTTTTATGCACTCGTCCAGCGGGTATTGGAGTTTTCGACAGCTGGAAGACGCAAAGGATAAGAGAGGATCACAAAGTCAAAAACAGTCTAATTTCTGCACAAATGTAGACTGCTAACCAAAAGACTTCACTTGAAGATCGAAAAGTAAGCCGAAAAAGGTAAGGAAATGCCGCCCACAGGGAAGAAGATCAAAATGTCTAGCAAGGCGTTAGGCGTCAAATGTCACTGAGTAAAAGGCAGGTTCACTCAGTATGCAAGTTGCCTTGATTTCGACCAAAGTGATATTGCGAACTATGCTGCGTGACATGCTAAATGTGTAAGAAACTCACTAGTTGATTAAAGATATACGGGTCAGAGCATAGAGATGTTTTATAAGAATTGGAAGAAATGCATAAGCCGCTCAGACGGGGCATATTAAACGGTTTCCACAGGACTACGGCGAAAACAAAACGGGACTGGTATGACGGGTGTTTCTTGGCATCCGACGTGGCACCATCCGAAACCACAGCTTCACGGTTTAAGGCCTTAACCATACAACGGAAGGATCTGGTGGCATCCTGGTACGGCAACCGACATGTTTGGGAGTCTGTTGCTGTGCCAGAAATCCAGTATGCAAACTAAAACACCCCGGCAAGGAGAGGGGATTTGTGCTGCCCACCGGAATGCCGTAACCTCGAATCTGCGTGAAACAACTGTCGACGATGCATACCTTGTCCAACTCTGACATCTGAACTAGTGATGCATAAGGAGCCTGGTCCCAGCAACAATTGCTACGATCGGACGTCGTTTACTTATCCCTACTACATCGGTGTGTATGATAAATCAGACATTGCACCTGTGTCAAGCCGGAAGGCAATCTATATGACTCTGACGACCAACATTCGGATTTTGCATAAATTGGCTGGTTGGAGTTCACAAGAGACCTCCGAATCCGAGGAGCGACATAAGGGCCTGGTATTCATTTATGATAAGAGGGTGACACAGAGTACATTCTTATAAGCCGACGCTGGGCAAGGGTGGTTTTTAACAGCTGTTCAACGCCGACTGAGGTGGCCGACTGAGCCTAAATCATATGCTCGCATGTGCGAGTGCGCCCTCTTCCAAAGACGGGCTGGAAATTTATCCCAAAGTAAAGGCATGGCGCTCCCAAAAGCTAATATAACAAAGTAGTCATATATACAAGTGAAAGCAGAGTCTTTGCTTTGCAAGAACACTCAGCTGTTCATTATGCAAGCCTAAGGGGGTTTATTTATAAACACCACTTCTGATTCTTCGTCCGCCCAATTGCATTATAGCAAGCGCAAACCAAGACCACATAAGTTGCAGAGGATGCGCAGTGCATCTGTCTCGTCTGAGACTCGGAACTTTGAGAAATTCAAACAGCACAAACAATGACGGTTATGTAGAACCTATATCAACAAAATATGACAATGGAATTTGAGCGAACGCTGGCCGTTTGTGACTTTAGTCTGACGAGCAAAATAGTAATAAACAAAATCAGTACTTAGCCGGTTCAAAATCTGTTCTACTGCATAGAGTGCTTTGCTAGGCTGGTTTGGCCGCCATTAGTGCATGCGCCCAGCGACACCTCTGCCGTTATAAAGCGCCTCTGAAACAGCAAAACCCTGAGTGACGACGAACTACCAACTGGAATACACAATAGCGGCTCTAGCGTCAAGTTTTCCGCTGACACCCTTATTAACCGTTTTTGCATATAGGGGCGGGGTGGGCAAACAAGGCGTTCACCGTGTGACGAATCTTGAGGCGATATCTTTTTGGGTAAACGCGGCTGCCTGATCCTTCGATTTTGATGCGACGGTTGACCAGGCTAGCAGAACCGTCTGTCAGAGGGCCTTGAAGGTTGATGGCATGTCAATAAGAATCCCGAAGTTGAGTGGAGTATCCTACTAACTCGTGCGGAAAACGTTCGAACACACTGAAGAAGTTTGCAGGCGGTGGCAGTAGTCGACAGAGTCATATTTTTATCAATGAATTTTAACAAGGCAACAGATATGGCTTGGACCACAAAAAAAAACAGGGAGAACGCTAGCTTCCATGTCTAGTAAACCCTGTCTGGATCCTTGGATGCACTTATTATGCCGTTCTGACTGCTAATTACGTCGGGGAGCACAGTTTGTCGTCAAACCAAGGTTCACTTGCCCAATATCCAGCCGCTGCTTCAGTTGGCCACCTCAACGTCGTTTCCACAGACAGCACGGTCAGAGGTTCGGAGCAAGGGTTATAAGGTTACTGGTTGCCATGCTTAAGTCTCGTTCTGGAATAACTTGACATAAATGCTATCCAAGATACCACGATGGGAGTAAATGCCCTAGTCAACCACACCTAACTTCAGCTCTCGCTGACCAAGAGGCACAACCGGACAGAAATATGGCTCGTCCTGCTGTCTTGTGAACTCGAAATCCATTGAAAATTAAAATTTCGCATGGATTCTGTAGTTCGAGGAAAACTCAGGAGACTGCAAATATCATGCTAATTAGTTTTATTCTGTTCATTTGTGATGAAAATGGTTCAAGTTACTTGGGAAAACTTACTTGGTCAACATGGGAACGATTGAGGTGCAGGAACAACTTACTGTCAACAGAGAGTAGTTCTGGAAAATGTCAGTCTTCATACGACAAATTTTAAGGGCAAAGGGCTTAGAAACCTCCATAAAACTGTTGATGGTTTTCTCATATCGTTAAATCTGGGAAACAGGAATATGAGGTCATAGGCGCGGTTCTGTGATAGATCGACGTCTTTGAAAACGCAAAGTGTCCTATCGAGCATTCCGCCCATGAAACATCTGAAGTGAACGGGCTGCAGAAGGATCTTGTTGTACACCGGGGTGGATCTGTAGAAGTTACGTGGGAGTTCCTGCGGCAGGACACGACCATGAGTGGGCCATCAGCATGCTTGAATGGAGTTGGTCATCCATAACTTCCTAATGGTAGAGGGGCGTTCACCGATCGTTCTTACGGGACTCACTCGTTCCGTTGTGCCTTACGGGCTCTCTCTTTAGCCCAACTAGCTGCCGAACAGCGGCGCATGATATAGGTAGAATGTTATTACCGGTCTCCCTTGTCTATGTCGGTAATAACATTCTGTTTATAGCTTTCCGCTATTTCCAGAAATCTGATGCGAAGACGCTGATACTGTTAAGTCCAGGATCTAGCCAAGTTTTTCACTGCCAAACTTCAATCTAACTGTGTCACATAGCAGACCGTCCAAGATTTTCTCAGAGAGATGATCACAAAGGTCTTGGCAGCAAAGGCAACTAAATTCAAAGTATATTAATTTGTCACGTATCCTGTCAATTTTCCCGAATGAAGATAGGATGGCATAGCTCCGGTCGTCTGACTCTGGCAGTTTGTTCGGCACTCAGAAAACGACTGTGTTAGGGCGTCGCCACAGGTTTCACTGTTTTTGTTTTGATTCCTGATTGCGGTTATGATCGACTCAAGGGTCAGCGGCATACATGAGACACCGTAAATCTAGAACAACGTCGAAAAAACCGACGGGTTGGAAGGAGTGAGAGTGGAATTCACGGTACAGTCGCAAGAGCCAGCTCCATCGGCCAGCCAATGATTGTTTCCCTATGACTGTTGCGAACAAGGGTCGTTTTCCATATGATCTGGAGTACAAACCAAAATGATTGTCTCTCATAGGTAACGCCTGCGGCGTGGTGAATCAGGACGATGAGTTTATGCCAAAAGACTGTCCGTTCCCACTCGGTGACTATACGGTAAGCTCTCTAAGGTTGCAAATGAGGTTCATAAGACCAATCTTAAAACCAAAAAGCTTATTATATGCACAGAAGTTTACCTTTAGTGCAACCGACAGCACTCATATTGGCATTTCTCTTCGGTTCAAACACTAAGCATGTCTATGCTAATGAACTAACGGAGGGCGAATATACGTGGAAACAGACTACGTCATCGAGGCCGGGTAGATCAGACACGATCGCAGCCGTACCAAGTTCAAGTAAGTACTACGTTCGGTTTCGAACTAAAAAGGGACGCATTAGCAGTTCATAGAACAGACATTAGTCAAACCCCAGCGCTCCGAAGCCAGATTTTTAATGACTGGTAAGTTTAACAAACAAAAGAAATTTCATAGCCTTCGGGACACATTAATAGGATGGTTATTGACGATATGAGGTAGTGAATCCCGAAGGACGCGGGAGGCCAGAAAAAGAAACAGGAGACTAACAATATTAAGCACAATATTGGAGATTATGGGGACATGTGCTCCCAATGGTCTCCACACCGTGTGTTAAATGTATTTGTATGATCACTGAATGCATATTAGTAGGGATGGCCAACTGCTTGCATAGACGATGACAGCGACCACAACGTCACGTTACTGAGCCGTTTACTAGTGTGCCATAGGAGTCTAGTACACCAACGTCCCTTCCGCAGACGATCAACTCGTTGTCAATTCACTAATTCCCACACAATGCTCTAAGAATGTGGAATGATGACCACAAATCTGATTCTAATCAGTTCAAAGGTGCGTTTAGGAATGCATTCAAAATGGCATACGACTGCGGGACCAAAACTTGCTACTACGGGATCGGTGGAGTGGTTTATATACGCCAGACTTTTGCACTTAGTTGCTCCTTAGTTCTTACTGGGCATCAGTACGGTGGCAGGGATCGTTGGCAACATAAGCCAGAAAAGTGCTTTTAGTGCTTTTTTGGTTTCTCTTGTCGCACACAATTAATTACTAGAACACCCGAGACAGTGCCTAGCCTGGCAATGACGGCCCTAGAATATAATGAGTAGACTGGAAAGGACTAATAAGGGATGAGGCAGGTAAATATCGGAAGATTCTGAGATATGAGACAAAAGAGCGATGAGCACTATATTAGAGGAAATTAACACCAAAACGTTCTCATGGAGCTAGAGGAAAAAGCAACCCAGAGAGAAAATTCGAGATAAAGCGTCAAATAAATGGTGAGAGACAGGTTCTTTAAAGAGGCAGGAGATCCCTGAGAACTTACTTCTCGATGGAAAATGTGTGGCCACCGTGTTTGTATATACACTGAAAATAAGGTGTAAACTGGTCGGCGCAATTCCTTTTCAAGAGACTAAGAAATTTAAGACCACAGGATGTGACCTCCTTTCCTTCTTTTAAGCATTTACGAGGATCATGGTGTTCCTGATTGCATAGCATAAACTCCTACGAGATTAGCAAGTCGTCAACGGTAGCACCTTTGACTGCTTGTCGCAGAATTTTCCCATGTGAATAGCTGCAGCAAGCAGCGGAACGGATGTCATCTTTATTTCTGGAACTTCTAACTCGCTTAACGCAGGCAAATCCATTGGATTTGTAAGCACCTCAGCACGAACAGTGACAGCCAAAAACAAACAATGTAAAGTAGAGCAAGGAAACCAAACAGCCTTCGCGGGAAATTTGTCTACGTCTGGCCAATTTGGCCAAGCTAGAAGTCGACATGCTTGTACATGCATGTTAAAATTTTAGTGTCCCTTTCGACAGTTTATGCGGCTCATGCACTTTAAAGTAGATACAAATGTGTTCATTAGGCAGCCGTTAAGTGGGTTAAGAAGGATCTTATGGCAATTACAACAACCGACCATCATGCTGTTGTCAGACGACAAGTCAGTTCAGTTCAGTTCAGCTTATTGAGGGAAATAGGCGTAAGCCTTTGGGTACCCTATATGCAACGTAAAAAATGTGCGGTATACAGATAAATGTTCTGGGCTGAAGTAGTTCAAACACGCCCATAATGGTAGGACAAAAACAGAACGAGTTACAGGGGTGAGCCCTACTTCTCATCGCTCTTGGTCATTTCGAAACATATATATGGCAAGATTTTTTTTTAAAACTTTGTATAGATGGTGACATAACAACATCTGCGGGAAGGGCATTCCATGGTTTGACCACTCGAACAGAGAAGGAGAACTTCCGCATATCCAGCCTTGCCTGCTGAGTGCGCAGTTTTAACGAGTGACCTCGGAGGTTGGTCGTGATGACAAAATCAAAAAAGTCCTCAAAGTCCAGACTGCAATCCAACCCCTTTACAGTGCGGAAGGCTTGCAAGAGATCCCCGCGAAGTTGCCTATAACTCAAAGGAAAGAGGTTCAGGTTTACTAGGTGGGCTGCATAAGCAAAGTAGCTTTGACCCCTAACCATCTTCGTGGCCCTCCTCTGGACTCGTTCGAGGCGGTTTTGATCCTCAACCGCCCACGGCCTCCAGGCCTGTATGCCATACTCCAAATGCGGCCGGACCAATGTTCCAAAGTCTTCGAGAAAGCATCTTTGTCAAAGTCCATAAACGCACGCTTGATAGCGTACAGTACGGACATTGCGTTTTTTGTCACTCTCGAACAATGGGCCGATGGCTTTAGGGAACTCGTCGTCAACACACCGAGGTCCTTTTGGTCTTCGACCTCTTTTAAGGCTGCGCCGCCCAGAAAGTAGTCTCTTGTTCTGGCGGATCTGGCTGTGTTGCCTAGGCGAAGTATGCTACATTTGTCAGTGTTGAACCACAGGAGCCAACGGTTTGACCACTCCTCCAACCGATTCGAGTTCATCTGCAGTCTGTCTTCGTGGGCGGGACCCCGAATTACACTCCATATCTTCATGTCATCGGCAGACATTGCCACTTCGCAGTCTAAAGCTCTTGCGGCATCGTCCACGTATATAAGGAACGAAATGGGTCCCAGTACTGAACCCTGGGGGGCACCACTCTCGACCATATTAGGATATGATTTCTCTTGACCGATGCACACAACATGGTGTCGACCCAAAAGGAAGATTTCGAGCCATTTAAGGAAGTTGCCAATGATCCCTATTTTTTAAGTTTATGCAAGAGCCTCTGGTGTGGCACAGTGTCGAACGCCTTCTGGAAGTCGATGAAGGCTATGTGGACCGCATGCCTGTCGTCGAGAGCTCGGGTCCAGCTCTGAAGAGATTGCAGCAAGTTTGTCGTGCAGGATCTTCCTCTCTGGAACCCATGTTGGTCTTTCGATAGCAGGCCGTGAACTTCCAGGAATTGCATCAGTTTACTCTTTATGATCCTTTCCATGACTTTGCACAGAATGCATGTCAAGCTTATGTGCCTGTAATTTGTGATCGCTGCTCTGTTACCTCCTTTGTGTAGCGGAGTAATATGCGCCAGCTTCCAATCTACAGGAAGTGTTCCGGTATCAAATAACGTTTGAAAGAGCATCGACAAAGGCACAGAGAGCTCTCTGACAAGTTCCTTGAGAAGCTTTGGTGGAATCTCTTCTGGTCTTGGCGACATCGATTCGTTCAATGCCTCCAATTCTCTTCGGACAACGCCTTCTGAGAAGAGTATATCACTGACGCTTGAGGTCGGCAGTTCTTCTGTGGAGGGAGGAAGGAAAGTTGCCTCGTTTGTGTAGACTGATTGGTAAAACTGTGAAAAATACGCAAGCTTTATCCCTACTATCAGCAATCTCAACGCCATCAGTAGTCCTTACTAAGGGGATTTGATGCCTATTCCTTGTACTTCGCCGGAGGTAACTGTAGAGTAATTTTGGGTTCTGCGTTGCTTTTTGTAGCAAGTTCTTCTCGAATTCCCGCCCCGTCTTCATGATCAGGTTCCTTAGTTTGTTCCTCTGTGTCTTGAAGGTGCTGAACTATTCAACTTGCCTAGTGACGCAGTATTTTCTCCACAAATTGTGCTTCCTGTTGATTTGTTTCTTAAGGTTGCTATTTATCCACCTAGAGCGTTTATTCAGTCTTACACTAGTCAGTGGGCAGTGGTTGTTGATGAGCATTTCCCGTAAACAATGAGCCCTAGTCGAGACCGGATAAGATTGCCCTCATCTGATTGAAGTTGGCTCGCCAAACATTCCGTCTGTTTTGGTCTGGAGTATGTGAAATGCAGAATAACGAATAATCCCACATAAGCACTACATGATCACTTCGGCCAAGGGGCGGCATGGAGGTGATCTCGTCTATGCTGTCTGGTGTTTTCGTAAAAGCCAGATCCAGGCAATTTGCTCTTTGTCCTTCACGTGTTCTCGTTGGGAACATTACATGTTGTGTGAGGGACGCACTTAATGTTTTGTTCAGCAGACGGTAATCGAATGCCGATTTTGGACCTGACGCTTGGAGAGTATTCCAGTTTGTTCCTGGTGCGTTGAAGTCGCCCATGATCATGATGTTAAGTTGACTGGAAAATTTCTCCAAGTGCTCCAATAGTTGAGTGTCGGCGATTTGGTCTGTCCTATGTGGCCGGTAGACAGTGAGGACATCGAGACACGGGGAACCGGTAGCCTTGATGGTCAACCAAATAGCTTCCGTGCCGCACGCAAACTTGGTGATGTTTTCCGACACTGCCAGGCCTTCATTCACATACGCAAGTATACCACCACCCTGACGATGTTCCCTGCCCCTCCGATAAATTTGCCATCCAGGCAAGGCTACTTCGCTATCGCTAATATTCCCGGACAGCCAGGTCTCAGTTACTGCTAAAACATCTGGAGACAGCTCGTCGAGGGAACGTTTTATTTCGTCTAGTTTCGATATGAGGCTTTGGGCATTCGTGTACAAGCACCTCAGTTGAACACCAGCCGAATTTCCCGTTGCATTTGTTACTGCTGTGAGCATTACTCCGTTATCTCGGACGCCATGTTCTCTGGGCTCTTCCGTTACCTGATGGATTTCATTAGTGTTCGTTGCATCATTCAGATCACTGGACGTTACGCGCTTACTTGTGTTGCCGCCTTGAGCAGGTGGTTCAATGAAGGTATCTGTGCCAGCTGGGTAGCTGCCGTCGTTCTTAGAATTACTGGCTGGTTCCACTGAAACGGCATATATTTCCGAACTACCTTCCCATTGAAGATAGCCAGATTGTGTTCGCCACCCTTTAATCTTGATTTTAACTCCAAGACAAGTTCCCGGCGTTTCAGCCGTTCGGTTGGTGAATAGTCCGGTTGAAAAAAAACTGTGTGTGTTTCTGAGGTCGGTTTTTTTAGAGAGGATCAACTTGATTTGCGCTTTGTTCTCCAGCATAATGTTGAGAGGCCAGGTGGTTCTGTTTCTGTCCTGTCTTCACTCCGTTTTCCTATCCGGAATACCTTCAGAACCTTTATTTCCAAGTCTGCCTGTAGTAAGTGATTTAGTAGACCATGAAACAAAGCAAGGTCATCCGAGACACGGTCTGCAGGTCTGAGTACATTAGATTCCGGCAAACCCTGAATAACCAGGCACTGCTGGCGAGCATGGTCCTGCTTACTCTGCCTTTCCGGTGAATTCGCTGCATGTGGACAAAGACGATTTACGGAGTCGTCGCTCGGATGCACACTTTTGCTGTCTACCGACTGTCCCGAGCAACCCATCAGGTCTGGCTGTGACTTTAGACTCCTGTCATGGCATTTCCCTCTCCCCTCTACCCACGGGTTCATGTATTCGCATTCAGATACGTGCTCTGTAGTGCGGTCGGGGTGGTTGAGAGAACAAGAGGGCAAAAGTAGACTGGATGACCATGGTATATCGTCTCCAGGCAAGAGAGAAATCCCATCACTTACAGCAAGAGTCCTAGGCGAGATAGCTCCCGCGCCAGGTAATTTTTTTGTGATATCGCTTAAGAAATCTTGCGTGGGAATCGTGTCTGCCCTTATCGGGGGCTTCGTTTTCGTTGTCCTGCTGTTACCGGCGTCTGCGGTTTTGGCTACTGAGTTGCTACTCGTGTTTGAAGATGCTCCCAAGGAGATATTTTTTCGCGTTTTTTGCGTTTTGCTCTTCGTTTTTGGGACTCTAACACTGGACACGCTCTCGTCGTCTAGGGTCTGCTTCACGAGCGTCCTTAAATCAGCAAGCTCCTTTTCGAATTGTTCTACTCTGATTTGGATATATGCGCACACAACGCAAGACGCGTCTTCATACCTAACACTTTTTGCGGTAATTACGCTTTTTTCACGCCTTGCTGGTCGTTGGCTGGAAGCGCAGACAGAGCGAGCACAGGTTCTGGATGCGAAGGACATCTCACCAGGCTTATCTTCCAACGAGTTGCCGTCGCTGGCCGTACTATTACAGTTAGCTTGCTGAGACTCTATAAACTTCGACCTGATATAATAGGTATAATTTCGCTTTCGATGTTAAAATGAATACGCCGGCTTGTATATGACGAATTAAAGTAAGTATTCAAAACTCAGTAAACGAAAAACTACTTAAAATCCGATAAATTTAGTGGAATTTTATCAGAAGTGACTTAGCACTTTGCTGATCTCGTGGGGCTTGAATAACTGCAGACCTTGAAATATTTTGGGCGATTGGTTTTCTA